GAGAGAAAAAGAGCGAGTGAGTAGGCGCGATGATGACAGCTGTAAGGGAAGTAAAGAGAGCGAGTGAAGGGTCAACAGTACGAGAGGAACGAAGAAATATGGCTTTTACACAAAGAAGTGTATGACACATACAGAATAAGGTGGGGCTAAGGGACGAACTACGCCAGCCAGTTGTGCAAAATCAATACCGCAATCCTTGTTTTTGATTGTATAAAAAAAAAATCCTCCACGATTATTCTTGGAAGAGATAGTTGGGCTGCTTTATGCTCATCATTCTTTCTTACTTTTTTCCTCTAACAGTATCATTTCCGGATAAAATTCGATGAAAATATATTCGTACAAATCGCTTTTTTAATTACAATGTTTTTACTAGGCCAAGCCAAAAGTTTCTTACTTGCATTTACAAATTATTTTAAATTTTACTCTTTGCCTGCTTTGTTTCTAATGCATTTTGTAGTTAAGATTTAATTTCTGAAAATTAAGAAAATACAATAAATCAATCTAAAAACAATAAAATATCATTAAAAGTCTGCTATTAAACTAAAATGGCTGTATGTCACCACGTGATGAGGGAGAAATAGGGTTTGGTGGGGTGCGAGTTTGGGAATTCTATATTTATGTAATTATTTTTTAATTTGCTTTGTTGATGATAAATTTACTCACAGGCATTTATTATTTACGATTAAAATGTAAGACAAATAAATGTAATGTTCGTATTTCGAATTAACAAATTTATTGCCCTATAAGAATAAATTCTAAAAGAACCTCGCACGATAATCTAAGAATAATATGAGGAATTCTTAAATCGACTATTGAACCTGCTAGGCTTTGTTCAAAATTGTAATGAAACTTCCATAAAAATACACTAAGCAACATTCTTTACTAGATACAATGAATAAGCAAAAATATCTTCTTCGTTTTTTCTTTCTTTCTTTGCTTTTATTTTATTTTAAATATTAAAAAATGTCTTGAATACATGGCTGAAATATACATTGAAATAATTATAATTAATTAGTATCTTATCTATTAATCTAGTAAAATCTCTCGAAAGTCATTAGTTTCCATATTTTACGCTATTTTTCATTAACGAACAATCCTACTTTTCATTTTACTAGATTAATCCTAATAATTCCAGATTCAACTAAGAAAGTATAAAAATTAAAAATTAAATATATTTGTGCAAGAGCTATATGCAACAAACGGTAAAGCTCACATTTTGAAAAATTCTTTCCCCGTAAGAGAGAAGGAGTGGCAAAAAGTTATGTAACGAGTAATGTAACTAACTTCTGATATCGAAACAAAACCAGAGCCTTGCTCGGTCTCATTCCGCCTCTCGACTTCGGAAGGATTGCCCCTGCAGGGATACGGAGAAAGCGTCTCCTTTTCGTTTCTGACCCTCGGCACGGATACGGACGGATCGGCAGAGATTATCAACGACGACGACGACGAGGTCGATAACGATGATTCTTCTTCCTTTCTCTCGAAGTTTCCACTCAGACGCGGTTCAAGTGGTCGAAGAGGAGGACACGAGCTTGGCTCGACAGAACAACAGGTAGGTCTCAGCAACAAGCCCGCAGACGGACTCGCGAGATTCGGAAACCTCCAGGAGTTACTTCCTGTTGTGACTCCGAAATCCAAGCTACCACTTCCAAAGAGAATTTCCTCCCGGGTTCCGTGGAGCGACAATGGGCGACGCTTCTCATACGATTGCTGTTGCTGCTGTTGACTGTCCTATTTAATAAAAGCAACGCAAACTGTTAATTGTTTATAAAAAAAAAAAAAAAAATGTACATATGCATGTCAAAGTTGGGAAAATTGGTAACAAAGTAATGGAACGACGCTTATAAATTTAATTGATTATTAGTATATAGTTTATCGTTGGATTTATTTTGCCAATATTTTTTTATTTTTGTTTTCGTAAGAAATTTTGAAATAAAACAAAAATGTTATATAACTATTTCAATTATTAAAGAAGCTATTATGTATATATATATATATATATATATATATACATTCAATGTAAAGGAAAAGATTTTTTTTCTAAAATTAGCATCAGTTTCTTTTAATAATATTTTTAACGTCTAAACGTAATGTTTACTTAAACGAATTAAATGATTGTGTAAATAAGTATTCGATCCTAAATGTAAAAATGTCATTAAAGAAGATCTTAAAATTTAGTACTGGTTACAATCATAAAACAACAACAAAATAATTAACATCTTCAATTTAATTACAAATTTTACTTGAATATAAAATTTTTAATGCTAATAACAATGGATATTTACATTAATTGATTATTGTTAAATAAATAAGATTTTTTTAATAAGTTATGTATAATCAATGTTAAAATGAAATCGGAAACTACGCAACGATATCGTTTGAACAAAATCATTTACTATAACAATACATTATTATAATGAGAGTTTTGCATGAAAACAAGGGTGAATAATGTTCACAGGAGAAAGTACAGCGTTAATAAAAGGGGAGAGGCGTTATTTTGGATGCTTTGAGTCACTATCTATACGCGGAATATTAAACTGAATAGTAATGTATCATGAGGTTTGTTGACCGTAATGCTCATTACAACCTTAGACGATGATGAACAATGAAAAATCCAATTTCACTTGCACAACTAAAGACGTTCGGAATTTCCTGTAGTAGTTTTATTTATCTATTCTATTATCTATCCCCTATACATTTAATGAAGATATAGTATATATTGATAAATATATGCTGTTGTAACAAACATCTTATTCAAATTAAAAACGCTTTAAAACATTTATTTATATAATTTCGAATAACTTCTTTATAGGGATAATTTTTATATTTGGCATTTAATATTTAAAAGTATTAAAAATTGTAAATATATTCCCTTATTCTAAGCAACCGAATAACACAAGCTAAAAGTTTTTCTCCTAATAATATGTAAATATATAATAAATTATTGGTATTAGATTTAAAAGATCGAAGCTACGATTATTTATTTATAATTTATTTCTTATCGGCATTTATTCACTATAATTGCAGACGAAGTAATTAATTCTTTTTACACGATACGCACAATGCAATACAAAATGGAGGCATAATTCTTAAGAATAGAAATTAATTACAAAGAAGATAAGAATATGCTTATAGAAGTAAGTTTTAAGAGAAACGTATACTTAGCCCATATTATTAATCGTTTATATACAGAAGAAATTATTTTACATAGTTCTGTGCATTCTTACATTTACAACTATACTTCAATACTATATGAAATTCTAGCGTGCAACTTTCTCTTATCCACGGATTTACGCTTTTTTATTTAGAAGACCTTTCGTGATAAGGTACGAACAAACAAATGAACCAAAAGCATATTTGTATTTATATATAACTCGACACAACAATTTTTAATTTTACTCATGCATTAACGATTATTTTAAAGATGAATTTAATATATCCTTGTAACTTTCTGACACCAATGTTATCTATAAATATTCGTTGTATATATTTATATTAAACTAATATTCTTCAGTAATTGTTATTTAAAATTTACTAATTTTATTTCTATTTTATTTCTATCACAATAAGATTACTATTTTTATTAGGTATAAATAGTTATCTATAGGAGTAATGGATATTTTAAATTCATATAACATAAATAATTTGCTTCTCTCATTCACACAATATCAACTAATATGCTCTGTAGGAAAATGTAATCACTTTTATATCTTGAACTTTCCATACTATAAATCAAGGTAATTATTTGGATTTTCCTTTTTTCTAATTAATACAGCACAGATTATGACGACTAGCTTCCTCAGACATTCTACCTGTGTATCTGTGAATCTGTGTATATTATTGCGCTTACACATTACTTTTTATCAATTTACATACAGCCTCCTAAAAATGTGACATTTATATAATTGCTATGGATTAATCATTAAAAAAAATAATAAGAAATCCTCTTTAATATTATTGCTAATATTAGTTTCACCTATACGTAAAATATTTCAAATAAATATATGATCTTAAAAAACTGAATTTTCGTGTACATTATTAATTAATTTTGTTGTTCTAATATATTTCTTCTTTTTTTTTCTCCAATAACTATTATAGATCCTTTCATTGCATTTGAAATTGAATATAAAAAAATACTAAATATAAGGATAGCGAATTCTATCATCAATAACTAATTATTGAATTAATATTAGTATTAATACACAAGCGCGTGCGCGTTTAAAATATTTAAAATACAATAACACATATGAAGGATACTTAATGTAGTAATATTATTAATTATATTATAAAAGAAAGAGTAAAATATTCAAATTGCTTGAAAAAGAAATGATTGCAGCATAATGAAAAAGGAAATATGGCAAGTTGAGAACGTACATGATAAGATGGACGTGTTTGTTTTAAAAATTAATTTATAAACAGCGATCCGATATAAATAATAGATTTGTGGTTGACACAGGAGATATTACAGCACTCCTATATTATTTTGCGGCACCCCCGCCACCCATAAATTAACTGTTCCACGCAATTCTACTTAACCGTTAAACTCACCGCTTCGAAATTGGAAGAACCGAATGAATGAGTGCACCAATGACGTATGCATATGTACGTAATAGATTCCCAAGCCTCATTCGTCGCTTCGTTAAAATCTATTGCGTAAATGCACTTCTATGCGCAAAGGCAAGAAGAAATAAGAGGGACTTTTTTTTACAATATAATCATTTTTTAATGCTCTTATTAAATAGCTTAAAGCGTTATTATTGATATCTTTTACAACGCATTAAAATGCATAATTATAAATTGCTCTTTTTTCATTACGAGTATTTTGGAGAAATCAGGACAAATATAAGATTTTTCTTTTATAAACAAAAAATTATACTGCTATATTAAAAGTATGCGGATTTTACTGACAAAGGTAACGCTGTAGAGGTAAATATATATAGGAACATCCTGCACTGCGTAAAATGCTATGCGTCTCGTAATATCTCGAAGAAAGCGGAACACACTACGAAACCATTGATTCCTGTATAATTTACATCCTTATACAAAAATATACTGTTATAAAAGATACTAGAATTATAAAAACGATTTTATCTAGATTTATAAAATAATGACTAGTTATGTCATTACGATTTATATAAATAATTTGCGGATGAAAAAAATATGATTAATTTTTCATTTATTTGGAAAAATATATGAGAGAGAGAATCATTCTATTTTTTTAAATAATAATTTAAGTATGGTTTTTAACAATTTTGAATAAAATTTTGCATAACAGTTAGACGAAACATAATCTTTCTCGTTAATAAACTTAATTTATCGCATCAAGATTTATTAATTTTAGCATCAAATGTTTATTAAAATCCTAACTAAAGATAATACAATTACTAACAAAGACGATTAAATAATTAATTTATTTTTATGCTTACTAATAAACATAATATATTTTATAGCTCTTAATTAAAAATCCAAGTTCAGATTTGTAATGTACTGATTATCGGAAGTTTTAGTTTTTGTATAATAAACGATAAAAATTTATATGAAGTGCAATATTGATTGATTTAAAATATTTTATCTTATATCATTTACAAATAAGCGCATGTAAATTTAAAGCCATTCGTACAGTAAAACCCGCATGAATGAAACAATTTTCAATTTAAATGCGCGAAAAAATTTGTTTCGCAGATCAATAATTTAATAAATTTATTAAATATCTCATGTTATTGTAATATAAGAGTATTTTTAATAGATTAATTTTATTTAGTAATAGTTACATTTATTATCTCTTTAATATTATGTTTATTCAATTTATGTTATGCACCATATCAGTCACTTGTATTAATTGTCTTTTATAAAAATGACCCTTTCTATTCCGAATTGATAGCGTAATGAGCTCAATAATGAAAAAAAAAATTAACTGAAATTATTAAAATATTATCGAATATAACCATTATTATCGAATAATGGTACAGTTCAATCAAACAATTTAATACAGACGCACACACGCACGCACGCACGCATGCAAAGGAACGACATATTATTTGCAGAAAAAAAATATCGAAAAATATATTACTTGAAGAATGAAACGATCGAGTTGCGAAACACTTTATAAATTATTATCGTACTAGTAATTTACATTACCTTCGTCGTGTATCTCGGGATCGTCGTTTTTCTGAGTTTAGCCGACTTTTTTTCACTGCTGTCTTTAAGTTCTGTTTCAATTTTTTTTTCTTTCATTTCATCAACATCCACAATCTGAATATCCTCTACTCTCTCGAAGTTTTTTTCATCGTATTTAATCTCATATTCATGAATTTGAGAATTTCTCGTCTGCATTGTTAAACGTAGTTGGTTTTTTTTCGTCTTGGCAAGCTTACTGTCTACCGCCAAAGATTTACGATTGATGAACGAAAATTGCCTTCCACTGGGAAGTGGAATCATTGTACTCGTACCTTGAAAATCTCGCTCACTCGGCATCCTAATCGTTTTCTTACTATTTAATTATTATCATTTATTAATTAAATAATGAATATATTAATTTGTTACTTGATGCTACGTATGCTCACCATTGCAATCAAATATTGCATTGGAATTATGAAATGTTGATAATTATTCACTTCACACTCTTTATAATGAAAATATTTTTTTTTAATTTAATTTGGTTAATAATTTACTGCGCACAATTATCGATTATTATAACGTGTCTCGCGTCGTATCACGTTTCCCTTCATCCC